CCCCGAGCCTACCCGAGCCCGAGAGGCTCGGGCTCGGTACATGCCTAATTGCGTCGATAAAATAATCCAGTCTTAATATAACTGCTGTTTCCTTCATGTTTATTTTCTCTACATAGATCTTCAATCACAAATTACGAAATATATGTCATATTTTGTTTTTTCAGTAAAAAAAATCATCAAGAGAACATACATAGCTTTTCACAGTGTGGAGAGTATTGAGAGACAAATATAATATCCACAATCACCGCCACAGTCACATCTAAATGTAATTATTCAAAGAATCTACATATTTTATATGACTATGATTGTAATTAAAAGCATAGTTATAGTTATCTCTATTGATTAGTCATATCTAGTAGACTATAACTAAGCGACGATCAAGTATTAATTATTTTTGTTTTCTTCAATATTCTATTTCGACTTCCAATTAAATCATTTATCTATTCTGGAAATAATTATTGTATACGATAAAATCAAATTAAAGTCCATTTCTGACCATAAATATTATCTAATTCTCAATTCATTTAGAAGAATCGTTGTGTATAGTAAAACATTTCAACGTCACTTTTTTTTCTCTTTTAGGAAATGTTGCATTTTCTTTGAACAGCGCTGATTTTCAATGTTTTTTGTTAACTAATAATTACACTAAATGTTGTCTCGAACAGTTTCATATTTATAAGAGATAACAACTCTCTCTGACAAGAGTTGTTTTTTTTTGAAAATTGACATTGAAAAAGGAAGTGAGCTGATTGTTTTTATTGATATATGATATTTTACATTAACATGATAATCTACGTCAAAAAAAAGAACTGATTATTTAAGAAAGAAAAAGAGAGAGCATGATAAATATTTTTTTTATTATTTTAACAATTTTCTAATTGAAATTGGAATGAAAAACTTCTAAGATTAATCGGTAAGAAATATTACATATTACTTGAAATATATATTTCGACAATTAACGAGAAACATAAATGATTATTTATGAAAAGATATATAAATAAACAGTTTAGCTTCTTTGTAGTTATATTATTAATAACTGAAAATTTTTTTTGTCGATTTTAGACTGTAAAAGTATCAAAATTTCAACAAGATATCAACAATGATCAACAACAACAGAATCGGAGTTGATAATGATGTAATTTATTGAAAAAAAAAGAAAAAGCATAAAATATAATATTTGTCTTTTTTTTGATTGTTTCAGTCTGAAACAGTTACTTTGAATGCAACTCGACCAAAAAAAGTGTATGTATCTTATGAATTGTAGACAATGATAAAAGAGATCGATTATTATTCTAGATGTGAATATGTGAAAAGAAGAAAAGTGATGTGCATCATATTTATTATTATTGTACTTGTTATAATTATAACAATTCCAATTGTTATCTTCAGAACAAAAAAGACAAATAGTGAACAAACATCTACAACAGAAGAAACAACAATTGAAATAACAGAAAAAATGGGAGTAACAACAGGTAGTTAAAGTGAGATAATCATTTATTTTGAAGTTAATATATGATAAATCATTTCAAATATGTAGAAGAATATTCATTAAGAGTAAGTCTCTGAGAAAATAAGATAACAATAGTAATTCGACATCTTAGATTTCGCTTAATATTTTTTGTATGCTATGGATAGCAGTGATGTTAGTATTAGCTGAAATTATCAGTGCGACTGGATCACTCCTATCTACACAAATAAACACAACACAAGCAGAATTTTCGATATTTGCCAGTATTCGCTTTTTTTTCAATTTTCCGGGATTTTCACGGAATACTCTTTAGTAAAGATAACTTTTAGATATGAACCTCTAAAGTATCATTGATAAAATGGATCTTACTCGTTTTTCTGTGTTTTCATACTAAAATGTTGATCCTTCGCATTTTATGCGGCAACAAGCAATCATTCTAATATTTCTGCTGATGACAAAGAACATCAAGGCCTATATTACCTAGGATATCTATGGGATGATAAATTCCGATTTTCAGAAAATTCAAATAAAGTGATTATACAGGAAATTTCCTGTGAATTTAATCGAATATGTTTTAAGGATAATCATAGAAAACTCTTCTAATTCAAAAAAGATATAAATGAAGTTGAAGTCTAAGCTCGAGTTGAATTGGGTTGGGCCGCATGAAGTCAAGTAAGAAACATATATCTATATGTATGTATATAAAATATCTTGAGAGTATGGATGTGTGGGAATGTGTGTGAAGTGAAGACAACCACCCGGATTCACATCCACCCTCAAGATTGTAAGCCGTCTTAAGATTTGTTATTTTATTATAATGCACTCATATTTACAGTCCATATACGGTTAGAGAAGAACAAGTAAGAAATTAGGAGTTAAGCATTATTCAATCGTTTGAGCTCATTCTAAACTCATTTCTACAACCTAGAACCAACTACGACATCAACAACATCAACCATAACATTAACAACAACATCAACTACAACATCAATATCAACCACAGCATCAATTACAGCATCAATAGCAACAACAGCAACAACAACAGCAACAACAACAGCAATACCGCGTAAGTAATTTGTTGAATGATTTGTGATTGCTCAAAGGATAATTACCAAAAGTAAAGACATCGAAAAGTTTTAGTTTTAGCTATCGAATGTTCATCATCTAGACAAACAACATTAGGGAATATTTTCTGGCAGAAATCGAAATAGGATTAGTTTTTGATGTCTTCATTCAATCTTCACTGGGCCAAATATTGAGTATGCACGCCCTACTCAACAGTATCATGCGAAGATATCGTTATTGAGGAGATTTGCATTCGAATAGAACTCATTAATCATTTGCATACATTTACCATATTGTGTGGATGATCAGGTTCATTTAATCGAGAGAAATGCTCTGTTATTGTTGTTTATTATGCATATAAAAGTTACACAAAACTCTTATAGTAAGCATGTTTAGTCGATAACAGTTGTACGATGGATGAGAGATAAAAGAAAATAATTTGAGACGCATCAAGTTAAGATTATATGGGGAACAGAGTGATATTTACCTTTACAACTGAAAAGGCAGGGTTTGATTTTATTAAGATAGTCGAGTTTTAACATACATTTCCTCATACAATAACCGATTTTTATTTGATTTATTGGTATAATTCTAAACATCGAAGTACTATTTGATATAATATCGGCATGAGATATGTCTGCCAACACTTAATCTTATGTTTTTGGTGACATCAAGTTAGAATCGGTAGAGCTTTGATGAATATCAATCAAGTTCTTTATAAGATATTTTTCATTGATTTGCTGAAATGTAACGATCTTAGCGTCATTATTTCTTTAAATTGATTTAAAATCTCTAAATGGATCTTATCTTATCTTTATATGAAAGGAAAAAGAAGTTCACTGAGGGTTAGATAGACAACATATCCGCATAGGAGGTCCGATGCTATTCTATATGAATAACATTTTTAATCTCACTTTTCTCTCTTATCTAGAATGGACAATGACAGGAGACATGAATGTTGCACGAAAATATCACACAACATCTATGTTAATAAATGAAAAAGTATTAGTTATTGGTGGATATAATGGTATTTCTCTAAATAGTGCTGAATTGTATGACCCATCAACAGATATCTGGATAACTACTACCAGTATGAGTACTGCACGACAGGAACACACTGCATCTGTATTCACAGATGGGAATGTGTTAGTTACTGGAGGAATTAAAGATAAAGTTTTTTTAAATACTGCTGTATTGTATAATCCATCAAGAGATAGTTGGACAGATACGGGAAACATGCATGGTGTACGAGGTGCTCACACAGCAACTACATTAAGAGATGGAAGGGTGTTGATTAATGGTGGAGATGGTGGTAGAGGTTTTCTTAACACCGCTGAATTATATGATCCATCAACAGGAATCTGGACACGTACAGGCAATATGAATTATCCGCGCGTTGATCATGCAACATCATTATTAACAGATGGAAAAGTGTTAGTTGCGGGTGGATATAATGATACTTCTCTAAATAGTGCTGAATTGTATGATCCATCGACAGGAATCTGGACAACTACTAATCGTATGAGTGTTACACGACAGTTTAGTACATTATCTACATTAATGAATGGCAAAGTGTTAGTTGCTGGTGGCTCTAATGGTGTTTTTTTAAAAAGTGCTGAAGTATATGATCCATCAACCGGTAATTGGACACCTACAGGTAGCATGAACTTCGCACGGGCACATCATACAGCATCATTATTGTCCAACGGAAAAGTATTAGTTACTGGTGGATCGAATGGTAGTTTTCTAAAAAGTACTGAATTATATGATCCATCAACAGGAATCTGGACAAGTAGTACGAACATGAATATTTCACGGTGGCAGCATACAGTAACCATACTCACAAATGAAACACTGTTAATTGCTGGTGGTGAGGGTGATGCTCCGTACCTGGATGATGTGGAACAGTATCCATTGCCATGAACCAAATGACATTGTTTTTCTGTCGATTGCAACATATAGTTTGTCCTTCGAATTGAAACCATTTACTTATAAATCCTTTAATAAAACTATTATTAAGAATATCTTGATTTTATTCTAGAATAAGTCTTTATGACAAAATGATAATCAACTAAATCATCTTGACAGCGTAAATGTGGGTGTGGGTGAGAGTTTGAGTATTGTATCCTTCTTTTATCCACACCCTGGATGTGTCGCTCCTTGATCACCGATTTGATTGGTATTGGTTTCTGACATAGTGACTAACTATGTCATAGCGTATATATGTAGATACGAAAAACATGAATAGAAAGAAAATGAGAGCTATTGTATTTTTCCGTAATGCATCGAACAAATATTGTGCTCTTTGATCTCTAAATTCATTATATACCAAATTCAGTTTAGCTATTGCCTGTGTGAGAAAACATTGATAATGATATAAAATACATAAAAACAAAATGAAAGTTACCTTGTTATTTCGTATTACATCAGCCAGATGTTTGGCCCCTTCATCTTCGATTTTATTGTTGCCAAGATTGAGCATGGTAATTGCCTGCATAAGATAGTACACATGATGAAATAAAATAGATAAAAAAAATGGAAATTGCTATGTTATGTTGTAATGCATTAGCTAAATGTATAGCTTCTCAATCTCCGAATTGATTTTGCTAAAGATTCAATGTAGTACGTGTCCTTGTGAAAAGGTATACTTGATGATATGAAATAGGTCGGTGTGGCTACTGAATAAAAATAATTCAGACATGCACACCCACACCCACACCCATCTCTATACGATGAACACTTTTTAGAAAGTCTCGTTGGTGTTCATTTTAGAGAGATTTTACTGTATTGAATTTATCTGTTATATTTTGAATTTTGTTAAAAACTAATTAAAATTATTTTTCAATTTATATTTATTTAAAAAGATTCCAGGAATCTGTTTAATTAATATTTTATATATGGAAATATTATTCATATTGTATAATATCGAATGAATACTTTTTAAATTGAAAGAATAATTAGAATTGTATTTACTTTCTATAACAATTTTGTTTGATCCAATGGAAATTCTATAATTAATTAATAAATCTTTTTTTCTCAAATGTAATTTAAGAAAGAATTTATTCATTTTATTCTTTTAAATAAAATCAATACTTTTTTTCTTCTTGATAAACTTATTACTTAGAAATTTATTGGATAAGAATGTAAATATTGAAATTCTAACTAGTTTATCTCTTAATTTTTATTCGATATAAACATATAAGGGAATTTTCTTTGTTAATTTAAAAAAAAATAAATATAATTAGTCGTATGAAATCATTTTCATTTACTAAGCTTTGAAATAAATCAATAAAATCCAACACAATGGATTAAATCTTAAATGGTTTTAATTAGAATTTAATAGTTTCTATATCAATAGTTAATCATTTTACAATGAAATTATGATTAATAAATCAATAAAGCAGTTAAATCATTTTATAGTAATACTAGTGGAGGTACCCGCTGCAAAATTTCTCTCATACGGTCTCCGCTGCAAAATATTTAAATTTCAAGCACCTTCCGTATCCGACCCCCTCTCCACTTTTCCTTGTATATACAGAAGTGTGATTGATGGTTTGGTGACGTCAGCTGTCACAAAACCACTTGGGTGAAGTTTCACCCACACCGCCTCCCTACCGTCCTATGGCCATGCCAACCCCCGTCGACCTTCCTTGGGACCTAAGGAAGCATCGTGGAAAGTTTGGTGATCATAGCTATTAGAGGGACTGAATGCATAGCGAACAAAAGATGTGTGCACTGACAGCCTTCGCTACCAATTTCTTTTTTACTTTTTGAAATGCTGCAATCCTATTGGTCAGTTTTATAGATTGCCTGTAGCAAGCGTAAGATTCATTTTTTTTTCGCAATAAAGTAGATATCGACCTTGCCCTGAGCGTAGACATCCTTTCTGGAAAGTTTCCTTGCATTTGTTCGTACGGTCTTCGAATGCATAGCGCACAAACAAACATTCATCTTTATATATATAGAGAGATTCATAAAACATTATTTAGATTTTTTATCTTCAATATTATACAAATTATTTTTGTTATTACGTAAAAATGCTCTAATTAATCAATTTAATATTTTTTTATGTTTAAACAATGATATTCAATTATTATGAATCTTCATATTTCTTGAAAATAATAAATAACATTCATCTATCAATGTATCATTTTTCAATAAAAATAGAAAATAATATTTGTTTTTAATTTTGTCATAGAAATAGTTCAATTTAACAATAATTTATCTAAAGAATATATTACAATATTTTCAAACAATAGACATTTTCTTATAGCTGAATGTAGTCTTAACAAAATCATTTCAAAATAGATTTTGGAATTAGTTTTATTATTTTTTTTAAATGTTTATTCACTTCAACTAATTAGAATCTGATAGTAAAATATTTTTTTTTATTATTCATAAACATATTTTAAATTATTTAATCGATCATTTCTTTATTTATTCTAACAAGATATTTTTCTTAACAAATTCTACTGTTGAAATGTCAATATAGATCAAATAGTAATAAAACTAATACTCACATCCTCAAATTGTTTTTATTTTACTAGATTTAAATAAAGAAACGAATATCTAATCACAAAAAAACTTCATTGATTTGAAAGTTATCAATAATCTGGGTTTTATTTGATGTAAAAGAAGAAAATTGAGTTTAAATCATTTTTCATAGAAACTTTTTATTCAAAATCAAAAATAAACAAAAATGTTGCATTTTTTCATTTGAAATTGAAATGAATTCAATTTCTCTTCGAAAAATAAAACAGATCTCTTTTATATCCAATATCAAATTTAAATTTTGGATCATTTCATAACTTTTAGTATCAATGTTTTATTTTATTTCAATCTCTTGTTCATTTTTCTTGCGTAATTCGTTTTTTCTCTATTCATCTAGATGAAAATGTTCATTATTAATTTATTTTAAAATTTCCAATAAAATTTGTTTTCATTGATTTCATTTTGACAAAACATATTTTTAATTCAGTTTTTATTAACAAATGTTTTAAAACCGAGCCACTAAAATTAGAAAATGATAAAATTTGTTAATTTATTAAAGAAAAATCTTTTCAACATTTGTTTTATTCAATAAAATACATTGTAATCCAATTTTTATTATCAAAGTTTTCTAAAACATTTCTTTCCCCTTCAATCCGAGACAATATTTAATTGTTTCTATCAAATAAAAATATACAAATAGAATTTTCTAAAATACAAAAACTTCTTTTCAAAGAATTTTTCTTTCAATTCAATTCAAATTACAAAATATTTTATTTGTTTGACTTTTTTAATGAAAATTACCAATTAAATTCAAGGTTCATGAAAAAAAACCAAAAAGATTTTTCTTCGTTGTTTTGTCAAAATATGTCTTTTTCTACAAATTTTAATTAATTTCTTTCATTGATTCTCAATAATAAAACTTTTTGTTTTCTTTTATTTCTTGGTTATTTATTCAACAAATATTTTTGTTTCTTTTTTCAAAATTAAAATTTCATTCACAATATTATTTCAAATTTTTGGATTCGATGATTGTAACGATCAGCAACATAAAGATTTCTTTCTTCATCAAAAGATAAACCCATGGGATGATTCAATTGATTTGATTGACTTCCTTGACCATTTCCACCAACAACAATTTCACCTTCTTCTTTTCCTTCATACCAACGCATTCCCCGATGATTCCAACAATCTGCCACATAGATTTTACCCAAATCATCGACAGTTACTCCTTCAGGATAATACAACTGATTAAGATTTCTACCTTCACCATTTCCTCCAGCCACAATTGTTCCTTCTTTTGCATCTTTTCTCCATTTCATCACACGATGATTGTGACAATCTGATACATAAACAGATTGATCTTCATCAACAAAGATAAAAGTAGGGCGATCAAGTTGATTGAGTTGATCTCCTTTTCCACTTCCACCTGCCACTACAACTCCTTCGTTGTTATATTCTCCCATTTTCCATCGTCTCACTTCATTCTCCAAATGATCAGAAACATAAAGAAATCCATATTTATCCATTGCCAAGCCATAACAGTAAATATAGTGAATGAGAATTTGTTGATTTTGATTCAACCATTGAATCACTCGTATGTTCCCATAATCAGCAATGATAATCGAATGATCTTGTTGATCAACAATCACATCTGTTGGTTCATCCAACTGATCCATTCGATTTCCTTCGCCATTTCCACCTGCAATGATTTGTCCTTCTTTTGCATTATATTTCCATTCAACAATACGATGATTTGTCGAATCAGCAACGAAAATATTTTTCTCTTTGTCAATAGAGATTCCTTGAGGGTTTATCAATTGATTTAATTCATGTCCTTGTCCATTTCCACCAGCCACAGTGATGCCATTTCGTTTCCATTTGTTGAGTTTCGGTTCTAGAAAAGAATGAAAACAAAAGATTTTGATGAAAAGAAGAAGAAAATTTTGTTTTTATCGAAGAACAAAAAGAAAAGATTATTTTTCACTGAAACTTTGAGTTTGTTTTTTTGTTGAAGTTGAATTGTAAATGAAATCAGTGGCGAAGCCGGTGAGAGGGGGAGGAGGGCACTCAGCCACCTCCCTTTCTAGCAAGATTTTGAAAAAATATAGTTTTGTGATACAAAATCTTATTATTCTTTGTAATGAAATACTCTATGACATATACCTTACTGTGTGAAAATCATATGTACTTTTTAAACAAATAAAAACTCATTTAATATAAGCTTCAGCTAGATTCTAGAGATTTCTCAGTTTCATATTTCACTCATCCGATAACTTAAGGTGCAAACAACACAAAATTAAAGCAAAGGTTTTTTCGCTTTTTCACACATGGCTGGCCCAGTGAAAAATTTACTCGATTAAAATTGATTAAAATTCCAAAATCGTATGGCAATAATCATAATCACAAATCAGATTTTTCTGCACCAAAATCCAAATTAAAATCGGTTAAAATCCGATTATTTCATGATTAAAATCGAATTATAATCGATTGTAATCAAATTATAACCAATTTTAATTCGATTAAAATTCGGTAAAAATCCAATTGTAACTAATTATAATTTCGATTTTGTTGCAGAAAAATCCGATTGAAAATCCTGATTAAAACTGATTTCTAATTTATTTCAATCAACAGAAAAATCTAATTTTCGCTTAGTTTTAATCAAAATTTTGATTCTCAGTTCATCCAAATAATTTGATTAAAAACTGATTTGATATTCATCTCGAAACTCTCCTTCGTATAGAGAGCAATCTGTACCCAGATTCTCTTGCTCAAACAGGACATTGAGATTAGGTATAGGCTATCGTCACTTAACATATCTCGCAATGCTTCTACAGTAGCTAAGATTATATATAATGAGCCCATTGACTTTTTCCATACACTAACAGTTGCTATTAGACTTTTCCACGTATGCCTTGTGAAAGATAAGGTAACTAATATAAATAACTCGAAATTTTATTAAATACAAATGTTTCATTGTTGAAAAACTTTAGGTTTACGTTTGTAAGTGTATTATATCTTCACAATGAAACATTTGTATTTAATAAAATTTCGAGTTATTTATATTAGTTACCTTATCTTTCACAAGGCATACGTGGAAAAGTCTTATAGCAACTTTTAATGTATGGAAAAACTCAATGGAGTCGTTACATATAATCTTAGCTACTGTAGAAGTATTGCGAAATATGTTAAGTGACGATAACATATACCTAATCTCAATGTCCTGTTTGAGCAAGAGAATCTGGATACGGATTACTCTCTATACGAAGGAGAGTTTCGAGATGAATATCAAATCTAGTTGAATTAATTATCATGGCCCTGACTATAGAAATATATGTTATTCTCAAAGCATCCTATATTATAATATATAAATATAGCGTATTCATCTATCCACTCAACTAAGTTCAACTCAAGACAAACATTAGTTTAAATTAACTATTCTCAACTTCACTGTAAAAATGTAACTTAGAGTCGAGTCCTTCTACACTAAAATACATGAAAATTGGATATTCACTTACCCTTGGAAATAACTTAAAGTCATTGAAAAAGATCAAATTTGATCAATTTTTATGAACGTCACTATAGAAATATATGTTAGTCTCAAATGACCCTATAGTAAAATATATAATTATAGAATAGTCACTTACTCATTGAAATAACTTAAACTGAATGGAAAAATCAATTTTAATTAATTATTAGGAACCTGTCTATAGAAACATATATTATTCTCAAGTTACCTTATAATAAAATATATAATATAGAGTAGTTACTTACCTATTAAAATAAGTTACAGATAATGAAAAAATCAATTTAAATTGATAACTGGGAACCGAACTATGGAAATATATGTGACCCTCAAAGGATCCTGTACAAAAAATATATGAATATGGGATATTCACTTATCTATTCAAATAACTTAAACTCAAGGAAAAAATCGATTTTGATTAATTATTAGAAACCTGACTATAAAAATATACCTTGCGGTTGAGTCATTCTATGCTAAAATGTATGAAAATAGAATATTCACTTACCCCTCAAAATACCTCAAAGTGAAAGAAAAAATGGATTTTAATTATTTTTTGGAACCTCACGATAGAAATATAAGTGACAAATGGGTCATTCTATACTGAAATATATAAAAATAGAATATTCACGTACCCCTCAAAATAAGTTAAAGTGAAAGAAAAAATCGATTTTAAATATTTTTTCGGAACCTCACGATAGAAATATAAGTTAAAAATGGGTCAGTCTCTACCAAAATATATGAATATAGAATATTCACTTACCTATGAAAATAGCTTAAACTCAATGAAAAAATCAATTTTAATTGATTGTTAGGAACCTTACTATAGAAATATATGTTATAGTCGAGTGCTTCTATACAAAAAATATATGAATATAGAATATTCACTTACGTACGGAACTAACTTAAAGTCAATGAAAAAATTGATTTTGATTAATTATTATGAACCTGACTATAGGAATATATGTTATTCTTGAATGACCCTATACTAAAATATATAAATATAGAATAGTAACTTACCTATGCAAATGGCTTAAACTCAATGAAAAAATCGATTTTAATTAGTTATTACGAACCTATCTATAAAAATATATGTTAGTTTCAAGTGACTCTATACTAAAATATATAAATACAGGATAGTCACCTATCTATTAAAATAAGTAAAAGTCAATGGAGAAATTAATTTTAATTGATTACTGGGAATCTGACTATAGAAATATATGTGATCTTCTAAAGATCCTATACAAAAATATATGAATATAAGATATCCACCTATCTATTTACCTAAGCTAAACTCGAGGAAAAAATCAATTTTAATTGATTACTATGAACCTGACTATAGATATGTATCTTATTGTTATATGATCCCATATAAAGACGAGTAACGCTTGTCTGGAGAGTGGCACAGGTCTTTCTCGCAAACACGATGTGGTTTCGCTACCAGAAAACTATGTTTTCAAGCAATTTCAGAAACTGACACAAGCTTCGAGTTCCTCGATTCTGATTACCCTCCAGTCAATCCTTAGAAGAAATATGTTTTTGTAAAAAAATGGTCTTTTGCGTAAAAGAATATTCTTTAAAAAAGTTTAAAAAACTAACTCCAGATTCGAGTTTCTGGACCCCGATCACCTTTGGTCAAGTTTTACCAGAAAGGATCCCTTTTGTTTTGACATCATTATTCGACCAATGAGTGAAGTGCGGACATATAAGCAATCAAGCGAACAGCTTATTTCTGCTAGACTATTGTCTACAAGAAAGAGAATTTATGAGTGTATAATATTCACCTATTTGGTCAAGTGACCTAAACTAAATGAAAAGATGAATTTTAATCATATACTACGTACTGAACTATAGAAAACGATAATGTTCTCGAATGATCCTGTATAAAGATATAATAATATAGAATATTCCTCTAAACCATATGAATATCACATAGCGAAGAGTGTCGTTATTTTTTCAGTCAGTGTGGATATAGAAGGTATTCGCAAATTATAGTATTATATAAGCAAAGTACTTAAAACCAATCAACTGATTATCCAGAATTTTCTACTCTTTTTCATTAGTTAACAATCAAGCGATAATCTCGAAAATAAATTTAACTTAGTTCAGATTCTAATCATTTTCTTCTATTTTAATCGTTTTTGAGATTTCAATCCGATTTAGTACAAAATGATCAATCATAATTGATTGAAATTGTGAAATCAGATATAATTTAATTGAGATTTAAATCAACTTCTTAAATTTTAATTGATTATGAGATTTCAATCTAATGTACTACAAAACAATCAGTTACAACTGATTAAAATCATGTAATCGAATTCAATTTAACTGCGATTTTAATCAATTTCTCGAATTTTAATCGATTATGAGATTTAAATCTGATTTTACGACCAAATGATTAACTATAACTGATCAAAATTGTATAATCAAATTTATTCTAATTGAGATTTTAATTAGTTTCTTAAACTTTAATCGATTTTGAGATTTCAACCCGGTTTGGTACAAAATAACCAACTGTAATTGATTGAAATTGTAAAATCGGATATAATTTAATTGAGATTTTAGTGGATTTCTAAAATTTTAATTGATTATGAAATTTCAATCTCATGCACTAAAAAATAATTAATTACAATGGATTATAATTATGTAACCAGATTTATTTTAATTGAGATTTTAATCAATTTCTTAAATTTTAATCGATTAAGAGATTTCAATCTGATGTACTACAAAATAATCAGTTACAATTGATTATAATCATGTAATCGAATTTAATTTAATTGAGATGTTAATCAATTTCTAGGATTTCATTTGATTATGAGATTTTAGTTTGATTAAATAGAAAATAATCAGTTATACTTGATGATAATCCAAAATCGAATTATATTTGATTAGAATTTTAACCAATTTTTTGATTTTTAACTGATTATAAGATTTTCATCCGGTTTACTGCAAGGTAATCAATTATAATCGATTGACAATCACGAAACTAGATTAGATTTGATTGAAATTTCAATCGATTGAGTTGATTATAATCAATTTTATGAATTTCACCGAATTTAGTGTCAAAAACTCAACTAAAATCAGCAAAAAATGATTTTTTTCTAATCGATTATGAAAAATAATCAATTATAATCTGATTCTTCTGAAAAAAGGGACTTTTTCTAGAAATAATCCGATTAGGTAGCTCATAATCCGAAATAATCATGATTTTTTGACCGAAATTTTTCACTGGGGGATAGAGCTCGTCGAGCTGAGTAAGAATATATCAGTTTTTACATTTTTTTCCAAAGTTCTGAAAGATCCATTTTCTCGAAAAAAATATTAGAAAAAACTAATCTTTTAATGTTTTTTTTACTTTTGAATCTCTTCATTTTACAAGCATATTTTCACTAAGGAATATCAAAAAAAAAAATCAGATCGATGTAGTTTTTCACGACAAATCTAAATATATTATTTTCATAGTCTGAATAAATATAAAAGCTTTCTAAAATTGAAAAAAAACATTAAAAGATGAGTTTTTTTAATCTTTTGTTTCAAGAAAATGAGTCTTTCAGCACTTTGGAAAAAATATAGAAACTGATATATTCTTACTCAGCTCGACGAGCTCTATCCAGCCAAGTATGAAAATGTGAAAAAGAAAATCTGCACTGGTTGCGTTAAAAAATTATACTTCCTAAGATGGACCAAAACGGTTTCGGCTGCTGAACCCTCACCCCTCTCCTAGTTCAAAACCCTAGCTTCGCCACTGGAATAAATGTGACTGTACATGAGAGAATATAATGCTTACATTATTCTCATGAAAAAATCGATGTTTATGAAAGATGTGTTTGTTGAGTGTTAAGTTAGTATTTTATTCAACTACAATTTCTTTTGAACAGGTCGATTCTATATAAATGCTACCTGAAACATGAGATTAGGTGTTCATATCAACTGGTGCTTCTACGTGTATAATCATACCGATAAATCAGATTAAATTTGATCATATCATGAATAAATATAGATTAAAACCTACTGTTTCAGTTATAAAAGAGAACTTTTCTTGGATTCACTTCTGTTCTCAACTGACAGTGTACTACGAGAAATAGTGATAGCTACAAATAACTCTGGATATAAGTCTTCAAAATGACTCAATAAATATTACATTTCTTACATAATCTGGTTGATGCATGATAGTACTCATAACATTGGGGTCAGATAGAGGTGCATCTCTTTCATTTGGGTGGATATTTCCAATTACCTTCTATGCTATATTTACAAGCAATGATATTGTCTGACTTTATTTAGTCATAGTATCTATCATTATCAACCTTTTCCAATGTAATGAGAAGTTCCTGAAGTGATCACTGAGTTCTACCATGTGAGAATCTTTTTATCGACAACATATTTGCATGATACCGTCAAAATTGATTGACATATCCAATATCTGACTATTTGTAAATGAAATTAAGTCATCAAATTTTGATCTTGTTTCTAGCCCTCATACAAAGTTCTCTGATGTTCTAAATCTAAATGAGAAACACTGGACAGCTAAAATCAAAACTTTTAGATTTGGTCATTTGCGATACTCATGGTTTAGGCTATTAGAAATCATCCAGCATATTACTAACCTGACGTTGTTGATGTTGTTGTTGATGTTGATGTGGTAGGTGATTCTATATTACAAAAATGAGTTTAGAAAGAGACTAAATGATTGTATAAGGCTTTATTCCTAATTGCTTTCGTCCTTCTCTTCTTCTTCTTCTTCTCTAACAATCTATCGACGGTAACTATTAGTGCATTATAATAACATCGGAAATGTTTAGATACCTTACATTATAATTGCAATGCTATGACCTTTACTTTAACCCTAGTGTTACCATGAGGGTCATTTTTGTCCGTTCTGTTGAGGAAATATACAGTGATAAAGAAAGGCTTGATAGTACGAGGGTTAACTACATGTCTACTATAATAACTTTGATAACTTATTTTACATTTTTTATAAGTTTAATAATGAAACATTTGCAGTATTACAGAAATTAACTCATATAACATTTTTATACTCCTACTGTTCTTGAAATATTTCATTATCATTTAAGACGACATTCTCGCCAGCAACTTAGGGTGTGGGTGTAGATGTGGAATTACAATG